TGACACTTTCAAACCGCCGAGGCATGCTGTCAATCAGGCTATTGAAGAATTCAATAGGGATCGCATCCCACTCTTCAATTGCTGCATTCACCAATTCTGGAACGTTTCGCGGAGGAGGAAGACGCTTTCTGATCCTTACTTTGAGCTCATTCCAACCATGTTCGATTGGGTTCAAGTCAGGACTCACGGCGGCGTGCTGCATGACCTCAATGTTGTTGTTCGCCAGGAAGTTCCTTGTGTGGTGTGCTGTGTGCGGGCGCGCGTTGTCCTGCATCAGCACAAAACCTTCGACTTCCGCAGCCAAAGGAAGGACATGAGGTGTAAGAATCTCAGTCACGTAGCGCTGTGATGTCAGTCCTGGTGGTGTTGGCACGGAAACCAGTGGGGTCTTGCGGCCGTGCATTATCCCACCCCAGAACATGGCTCCACCGCCACCGAATGCCACTGAACCCTTCACGCAGTCTTGGTTGTAGCGCTCGCCCTCGCGTCTCATAACCAGTTCCCGACCGTCATTCTTGGAAAGATTGACCTTGGTTTCGTCAGTGTAGAGAGTTCTGTTTCGCTGCTGTGCCGGCACTTGTAACTGGGCTTCAGCGTACGCAAGTCGGTTACGGCGGTGCTCTGGATCAAGGGCAGGCGCAACATTGGCCCTGCGAGGTTTGATGCGTACCTCCTTCAGCCTGTTCAATGCAGTCCTGGACGAGATGGCTTGACCAGTATCAGCGCGATGCTGAGCAGCCAACGCAGGCCCCGATGTTAGCCGAGCCTGCAGAGCACCTCGCGTAATTCGCCGGTCTTCCCGAGGTGTAGTGCATCTTGGCCGTCCCTGCCCACGACGTCTTCTGAAGCTGCCAGTCTCCCGGTGACGCTGGACAACCCGGCTGACGGCAGATTTCGAGACGCCCAGGTCGCCGGCGATGAGCCGCACCGAATCTCCAGCTTGAACTCTACCGACGGCCAAAGCCACTTCTTCCGGAGTCATTTCCCGTTGCATGATCTGTAAAGCAATAAGAATTTTCTTAGAAAATGTTTAAACATGCTTTTCGTTCCGTGGATCAAAAAGTAAACACTGACTTACCAACGCGTCAAAACATCCACTCGTTGATGGAAAACGATCTTCCGTATCAACAAAGAAGCGACCGTCGCGCCACCTTGCGTTGGAAGAGCAGAACGTGCGGAGAACGGAGAAACGCGAAAAGCAAAACCCGATGGGTTGCCTACCTCTACGGCGTGTCCGACTGCTCGCGTAGCGACGCCTGTCTGCAGGAGTTTTTAAAGTTGCGCAGAGAGCTCAAGAACCCGTGATTGGAAAATTCTGATTTTTGCAGGGTCTGGTAATGAGGCTTGGGCGCATCCGATGCCGCGGTCGGCATGGCCGTAGCGCTCCTCGTTCAGCCGCTAGAGGGGCGTAAACACAGGGGTAGTTTTTTTCGAAAAACGCAGTTTTTAGCCTGAAAACGGTGCTGAGTAAGGGTTATTGAAAAGACGACTTTTTTGAAATGTATACCGGCCCACGCGGAAAATGGTTCCCCTACATGTTAAAACTATCCTAGGAACAAGGGGAGCCCGATCAAAAAATGCCTAGGGGTCGCCCTACCTTTTTTAAGGTTGAATTTCGGCGTAGTTTTTCAGAAGTCCTAGTTTTAACGCTCCATGGGCTCTAAAAGCCGTGCGGTGCGTCTTGGCCGCTGGGTATCGATTGGCACTTCTTCTACTCAAGTTCCGGAAGAAAATGAGACCTATTGGGGTTGATTTGGTCGCACGTTCAAAGATCTGCACCAATTTTTTTGCTCTAAAAACGCGTTATTTGTGCATTTTTTTACATTTTGAGGGCTATTGAAGCTTCTGGTATTGTTCAAAAAAATTTGAAGTGAATGGTTCTTATAGAGAAAAGTCTGGCCTTTCCAACGAGCCTAGGCGGAAGATTGTGCGATTTTGAGTTTAGGCGCTAGAGCAGCTCAAAGTGTGTTAATGATTCAAGTTTTCCTAGAAAACAGCGTTATCGCATGTGGAAGACGTAGGAAATGGTCAAAATACAGGAAAAAAATTAAAAATAAATTGTCTGCAGAGTATTAGTGTGAGTGAATGAATAAGACCGTCGAAACCCACCGCACCATAGCGTCCCTCCAAACTTTCACTTCTGTGGTCGTTCTCGCGCGCGGTGTAGTGACGGTAGGATACGTGAGGTGGAATGGGGGAAGCCTGCCGGTGGTGGGGGGTGCTGGCGTTAAGTTCCGAAACACCCGGTACCTCGTGTAGTGCAACCGCTGCTGCCACCGGCCGGCAGAGCGACCGAACGCATCAGCTGTCAGTCTGTTCGGAACGTCAAATTGGGATGGCGCGTCGCAAGACCGCGGGGAACGCGTGCTGCGCAGTTCGCGGTCAGGGAGGAGTTGACGTAGTGGAAAAAATTTCTTCGACACTTGTCGTAAGAGGTGGGTGACCAGAAAAGGCGCCTGCATACATCAGTCCGTGTTTGATGAACCAATTACTTAGGGTTTCATAACACAGACCTTTAGGACATGCTGTCGATAATAGAAGAATATTATGCACTAAAATAACAAGTGGATTAAATTTATCATTTTTATCAATTTTTGTACAAATTTTCACCCACACCTCACCTTAAAGATCCTCCCCCATGTCCGCGAACTGCGCAGCACGCGTCCGCCCGAGGTCTTGCGACGCGCCATCCCACTCTTGTCAGTATTCTCCGTAGGCTCCCACAGTGATCTCCGAAGACCATACAGTGTTCCAGGTCCTACGGAGAAGAATGTGCGGTCGTACGGAGAATACTGTACGGCCTAACGGAGAATACTGTAAGAGGGCTTCGGAGAATCCTGGCAAAAAAATTAACAGAATTTTCCGTACCTTTTTGCCACAGTGATTCCACCTCACGTATCCTACCGTCACTACACCGCGCGCGAGAACGACCACAGAAGTGAAAGTTTGGAGGGACGCTATGGTGCGGTGGGTTTCGACGGTCTTATTCATTCACTCACACTAATACTCTGCAGACAATTTATTTTTAATTTTTTTCCTGTATTTTGACCATTTCCTACGTCTTCCACATGCGATAACGCTGATTTCTTGAAAAACTTAAATCATTAACACACTTTGAGCTGCTCTAGCGCATGAACTAAAAATCGCACAATCCTCCGCCTAGGCTCGTTGGAAAGGCCAGACTTTTCTCTACAAGAACCACTCACTTCGAATTTTTTTGAACCATACCAGAAGCTTTAATAGCCCTCAAAATGTAAAAAAATGCACAAATAACGCGTTTTTAGAGCAAAAAAACTGGTGTAGATCTTTGTACGTGCGACCAAATCAACCCCAATAGGTCTCATTTTCTTCCGGAACTTGAGTAGAAGAAGTGCCAATCGATACCCAGCGGCCAAGACGCACCACACGGCTTTTAGAGCCCATGGAGCGTTAAAACTAGGACTTCTGAAAAACTACGCCGAAATTCAACCTTAATAAAGGTAGGGCGACCCCCTAGGCATTTTTTGATCGGGCTCCCCTTGTTCCTAGGATAGTTTTAACATGTAGGGGAACCATTTTCCGCGTGGGCCGGTATACATTTCAAAAAAGTCGTCTTTTCAATAACCCTTAGTGCTGAGGTTGAAACCTGAGGGCAAAACACAATGCCCCCGATGGCCCTAGCAGTCATGCATGCGCGCGCAGCGCCGCGGCATTTTTCAACCCCTCCGCTTGGGGGTTGTGCACCCCTAACTTAGGGGTGTCTTTGCGTGGCTCGAAGGGTAGCTATCGGCATGGGACCTTTTCGAGGCTGTCCAGGGTCACGTCTTCCGGAACCCTGGTGAGTTTCACCCCCTTCCGACAGGCACAAGTGCCTCAAAACGCAGGGGGTTGAAAGGGGGTGAAGTGTTTCGGCCTCTCGGAGGGTGACTACGGGGTGCACAGGCTCAGACGCGGTATCCCCCTCATCAGGGCGACCGAGAGGATGACGCCAGCCCGATCTCAGGGCCGTACCTCCAAAATTGTGGATTTTTAAGGGGGGTGGGGGTTGTAGGGGGTGGGTTTGTCCTAGAGGGCTCCCGGGGGTCGCATTTTGTAGAGGACGTCAAGGACAATCGCTCTGTACCGTTTTCGGATCATTTTGACTCCCGAGAGCCAGGCTGGCCGCTGCAAAAGTTGCGTTTTTTTGCACGTTCAAATTTCAGGGGGTAAATCAACCCCTTCCAAACCAACCTCGTCGGTGCAACTTTGCACGCACTTGAAGGACACTTGAAGGCAGCTTGTGTCAAAGTTTCAGCCTTCTAGCTCTTAAACTCGAGATTTGCGGTCACTTTGAAAAAGTGTCCTCTTAATTTTTTCCGCCAGTGTATATTACTGAAGAGTGAAAGAGTACGCAAGTGTGTGAGAAAATCTTTTGAAGAAAGAGAACCTTCTAACATATTGAAAGATTATACTGATGGATCTGCATATCGTGAACACATGAAGCAACATCCGAATGGTAAATGCCTTCAACTTCATTTGTTCCAAGATGGATTTGTTTTTGATGCTTTTGGACCAACACAAGGTTTGTACAAGGTTGATGGTTTTTATTACACTCTTGGCAATTTACCTCCACAGTATCGATCAAAGGTAGACCTGATTTTACTGGCATATCTTATTATGGAAAAGGATATGAAACCCACGGAACAAGAAGAACTCACAGATGTTGACAAATTGAAACAAGTCCTGAAACCTTTGATGGATGAATTAGAAGATTTAAAAATTAATTGAATTGAATTTGAAGGTGAAGTATTGCCAGTCTGTTTAATGTTTCTTATAGGAGATAGTCTTGGGCAACACCAAGTTGGTGGTTTTGTGCAAACTTTCAATACTGAATATAGTTATAGACTTTGCCCTAAACAAGAACAGAGTTTCGAGCAACTCCTTGGAAAGTCAAACCACATAGAACTCCAGAACAGTACGATCACTATTGTGAGACTGTGAAGAAAACATGGGTTGTTAAACGGAATGCACTTCTGAAGAAGATGAGAAAGGTAGTCAAAAGACTTGATACAACAAGTAATGAAGTTTCTTTGGCAAGGTGCTCTGCTCCTGGCATGCGAGCTATTCTTAAGAAGAATGTCCCTAAAACTGAATACAAGAAGCTCCGTGCTCTCCACTTCAAAGGGGTTAAATATCGTCCCTCCCCCTTCAATTCAGAGAAACTGAAGTTCCATGTATGTGACCCAGCCATGCCCTTCTGCCTTGCCCATGACTTTTTTGAAGGCATTGTGAAACTTGTACTTGCCAAAATATTAGCTTACTTCATAGATAAGAAGAAATGGTTCTCTCTCAAGACTCTTAACCGGCGTATCATATCTTTCAAGTGCAAAGGGTCCGATGCCAAGGATGCCCCCACAAGACTCAAATCGACAAAGAAGTTAAGTGGCAATGCATGTGAAAACTGGAATTTCCTGAGACTTTTGCCTTTAATAATAGGTGATTTGATCCAAGATACAGAAGACCCAATGTGGCAGTTGTTCCTGTCTTTAAAAGAAGTTTGTGAATACGTTTGTGCTCCGAGTATTGCTGTGGAACAAACAGCATATCTGAAGGTTTTATATCAGGCATTCTTAGTTCAGTTGCAGAAGTTGTTGCCAGAGTGCCTCATCCCAAAAGCACATTTTGGAGCGCATTATGCAGACCTCATCTTGCGCTTTGGGCCTTTAATCCGCCTTTTCACGCTACGCTTTGAATCAAAACATGTTTTCTTTAAGAGAGTAGCTGATGCCTGCAATAACTTCATAAATATTACAAAAACTCTTGCCCACAAGTATATGTATCGTTTTGCATATGACAATACCTCTGAAATTCTGCCAGACGATCTGGAGTATGATACATCTAAGTCTCTCAACTTGAATTTGGAAACATTGCCAGAAGAAATGATTGCAAGTCTGCCAGAAGACTTAAACTATGAAGACTTTGAAACAATTCCCAAAGTCATTTTCCATAGTGTTGCATATCAAATTGGTGACATCATGATTTTAGACAAGGCTGACAATGCACTTGATCTTAAAATTGGAAAGATTGCAGTAATTTGCGTTGATCAGAGTAGAGTACACTTCATTCTGCAAGAGATAATAGCTGTAAACAGTCTCAATGGTTTCTATACTCTTGACCAAAAGGTCTCTGGTTACTCCATCAAAGAACTGGAAATGTTGCCAGATTACTACCCTCTTCCAGTTTACATTCATGAGAATCGTGAATGCATAGTGTTAAAGCACTCAAACCCAACTATGAATTAGTTCGGGACACAACTAGATATTAAGTATGCTGATATCAAACTTGTAAGTATTCTCTTTTTTAAAACAGTTAAAGAAAGACAAACATCCAGTGCATCTGCCTCTTCTCTAATTTTAATGTGTGTTTGTATTTTGTTGCAGTTAGTGCCAGTTGACTCATGATCATCCAGTTTACGTTCATGAAAATCGTGGATGCATAGTGTTAAAGCACTCAAACTCATCTACAATTTAGTTCGGAACACGACAAAATATTAAGTATGCTCATCAGCTGGTATTAATCTTTAATATCAAACTTGTAAGTATTCTCTTGTTTAAAACAGTAAAAGAAAAACCAACATCCAGTGCATCCGACTTTTCTCTACTTTTAATATGTGTTTGTATTTTGTTGCAGTTAGTGCCAGTTGACTCATGATCATCCAGTTTACATTCATGAGAATCGTGAATGCGCAGTGTTGAAGCACTCAAACCCAGCTATGATTTAGTTCGGTATACAACAAGATATCAAGTATGCTAATCAGCTGGTATTAATTTCTAATATTAATTTTGTAAGTATTCTCTTTTTTAAAACAGTGAAAGAAAAACCAACATCCAGGGCATCTGACTTTTCTCTACTTTTAATATGTGTTTGTATTTTGTTGCAGGTAGTGCAAGTTGACTCATGATCATCGACGCTCTCTTCAGTTGATCCATGCTAAAATCATATCACACTTCAGTTCCTAATTGATTTCTCTCCCTTGTAACATGAAGCTATTTCTCAAAAGTGATACAGCTTTCAAAAAGATTCTCAAACATAGCCCAGAAAATATTTGTAAGTGTGTTGTCAATATATTTGGATTTCAGCAGCTGAAACAACCACTAAAAAAAGGTAACATCTTTTTGAATGCAATGTTTGCTGGCCCATTATTGAAATCTACTTTTGTTTGATTGCCTTTGTTTTATTTGTACTTCAAGGTCTCAAAGTCAGTCTATAAGGACCCACATTAGCAAGGGATAAATTGAAGCGAGTTTACTTTCCTCTGCGGATGATTGCTGCCTTCGGAAAGAGATGGAGTCATATCTGTGGTTTTCATAAGCTGAGACAACTAGACACATATAGGTAATACTTTTTTTAATGCTAAGTGTGCTTGCTCATTTTGAAGAGTACTTTTGTTTCATTGTCATTGTTTCATCATGTGTTATGTTATAGATGTTTGTTTAATGTTATGATATGAAACAATGGAGAACATAACCTAGGCACGGCTTACTTGCAGTCATTCCCTTGTTTTTTAACCACTGCCCTAGTGATCCTGGCCAGGACCTCCAACCCTTTCTTCCTTTTGTTCTTCCCCTTAATACCCTGGCCGCTGAATACCATTGGCCATGCACCCCCACTCTCCACTACTGTTCTTCCTTGTGTTCTTCTGCATCTGTAATATAAGAGCGCGTCGCCAGACGTCCGCTACCATTCTGTACACGGTCACCTACTGATAATACAGAGCCTTCCGTCTCGACGAGACCCCTGACTTCCCTTTTCCCTCCAAGTCCCTTACACTGCTACACTATAACACTGGTGACAGCGGTTAATCGGGCTTTGAGGTTAAGGTCGGTCTATGCCTTCCCTGTTAGGGGGGAGGAGAGTGACTGAATAGCGCGAGAGTTTGAACTTAGCAGTTTTTGAGTCTGTGAGTGTTAGTGTGTGAACTTGAAACTAGTAGAGGCCCACCATAACCAATACTAGTGTGTGAATTGTGATCGAAAAAGCTGCTAACTCAGACTAACGAAAGTGGATACTTGCGAGTGTAATTGAAATCGGACTTGGCTTTTGAGGTTAGGTCCCAACCTGACTTTTGAGGTTAGGTTCCGAGTGTGACTCTGAGAGAGAAAGAGTGTTGGAAACTCGCCGCGAGGTTTGAGTGTGTCCAACAGGAGTTCAAGGGAGTGATTGAAATAGATTAAGGCACCTGCTACCTGAGTGGATAGTCATCGCCTGCATTAATTTGCTGAGCGAAATTACTCACTTACGGAACGGAAACAACCTGTAAATACACAAGTAGTGTGAGGTTCGCCTGCATTAAATTGCTGAGCGAAATTGCCTACGCGAGTACTACAGCTAGAATTAAGTTGATTGTTACGTGACCAAGTGACGTCCACCTGCACTCATTTGCTGCGTGAAATTGCCTGCTCACCTATCAACATACTCAGCCCACACGATCCCTCAGTGAGGTTCGCCTGCATTCATTTGCTGAGCGAAATTGTTGAGAGAACGTGCTTGACTGATAGGAACAAGCAGCCTACTGCCCCTAACGCATGATCGCCTGCATTCATTTGCTGAGCGAATTGCCGCATGATCAGTAAAGCTGCAAGTTCGGTTCTCTCCGCGCATCGATGATCGCCTGCACACGCCTGCTGAGCGAATTCGTGCTGTGGTGAGGCTAGTTAGAGGCCTACTCTGCCACTGTGTCAAGGTGACCAGCTGGCATCGAGCTGTGCTAGTTTTAAGGAGTGAGTGAGCTAGTCTTAATTTAGAAATTAGAGGCTTGAAATCAAGTCAAAACTTTATTAAAACCAAGTGCACTGTGTCCCATTCCCATTTGACATCTGAACACCACGCGAAATTCCACACGAAGCAAAGCGCGACGGGAACCTGCAACACAACAAACAGCGATTATTAGCTAACTGTCCTCCACGACAAACGAACGCGAGTGTATATCTAACTACAAAGAAACACAAAGCAACTGTCGCAAAGGGCCTGCCACGCCGCCGCTTCAAGCTACACAGTTTTTGCCACACCACATAACAACATGATACTACGGGGCGGTCGGGGACCCCCATGAACCTGTCCCGACAAGACCAGCCCAACGAAACCGGACTACGTCTAAACGATAGAATTTCGTTAGTTGCACTTAGTTTTGGTTAGTTTTAAGTTTCGCTGCACTCTACAAAAAAATGTCCTTTCAACGCCGTTAATTTATTACCAATGTTTGCTGTTATGCAATTCACGGCGTTTGCTGTGAACTAGTTCACGGCGTTCACTGTGATCTCGGTTACAGTGTTCACTGTGATCTGGCCACAGTACAGTCAGACCAGCCTAAGGTCCCACTTTTTGTGGCCGTTAATACTGCCCCCTCCACAGGGCCGGGGGGAGCGCGGGGGCTGGTGCGGGAGGACTTTGGCGGTGGAGGGGGCAGTTTTAACGGTCACAAAAAGTGGGACCTTAGGCTGGTCTGACTGTAAACGCCGTGAATTGGAGCCTGATTTGCAGTACTTCGGTGCTCAGCGGCGTCAAACTCACAGTGTTTACTGGGGACCAGATCACAGTGAACACCGTGAACAAGATCACAGTGAATCCCGTGAGCAGATCACAGTAAACGCTGTGAATTGACCTACAGTGAAAACTGGTAATAAATTAACAGCATTTACAGGACATTTTTGGTAGAGTGTGAAAGTGTTCACCGAATTCTAGCGCGCGTGTGCAAGTGAGAAGAAGATAGCCGGACTCAAACTCGGTTCTTCCTCAGAAGACCCTGTAGACATGTAACCCTTCACAATTTTGTGAGTTTCGAATAGTTTTATCATCAAAATAACATTTCGACAAAACAGAACCTTAATTTTTTTTTAAAATGATGCAACTGTTCGTACAAATTTTCAGACTGCCCCACGCAGCGCAGCCTGTGCTCTTAACGCCGTATCGAGGTGAAAAATGTGTTAGTTGAGAATTGTTTTGCATTGAAACACTCTTTTCCAGCAATAATAGTTTAGTTCTATTTTAAAACTTAATTTCAGGTCTGTACAGATTCTGACGATTCGCCAGGCAGAGCAAACGGCTACCTCGGGCGCATCTTGGTTTTAAACCACGTTAGTTCTGAATAGTTTTGATATAATAAACGCAATTTTTACGAAGTCTGGGTTTATATATTAATGGACTTTCCTTTATGCCCGTACACTTTCTGACATTTATCCGGGCAGTGCCAGCGGCTGTCTTCAGTCCATTTTCAGATAAAGACTTGTTGGTTTTGAATTGTTTTGATGCGCAAAAGGTTATTTAAACAAAAGCTGGGTTCGTATATCATCGGAAATTCCTTTATGTCCGGACACATTCTGACCTTCCTCCAGGCACTGCAAACTGCTGCCTTTATGCTATTTTGCGATTTAAAAAACGTTAGTTTTAGATAGTTTTGGTAAAGAGAACGCAATTTAATCGAAGGCTGAGATAGTTAATTCATTGACCTCCCTTTATGTCAGTACAGTTTCTGACTTTTACCAAGGCAGGGCAAACGGCTGCCCTAATGTTACTTTGCGATGAAAAAAACGTTAGTTTTAGATAGTTTTGGTAAAGAGAACGAAGTTTAATCAAAGATTGGGTTAGTTTATTTATTAACCCTTCCTTTATGTCCGTACAGTTTCTGACTTTTCTTAAGGCAGGGCAAACGGCTGCCCTAATGTAACTTTGCGATGAAAAAACGTTAGTTTTAGAAAGCTTTCATAAAGAGAACGAAGTTTAATCAAAGATTGGGTTAGTTTATTTATTAACCCTTCCTTTATGTCCGTACAGTTTCTGACTTTTCCTAAGGCAGGGCAAACGGCTGCTTTAGTGTCATTTAGTGATAAAATGACGTAAGTTTTAGAAAGTTTTTGTAAAGAGAACGAAATTTAATCAAATATTGGGGTGGTTTATTTATTAACCACCCATTCTGTCCATACAGATTCTGACTTTTGTTCAGGCAGGGCTAACGGTTACCTTAACGGTCATTTTATCACTAAATGACACTAAAGCAGCCGTTTGCCCTGCCTGTGGAAAAGTCCCCGTACGAAAATGTTGGAGTCCGAAAAGCAGCCAAAAACAACCGTTTACGGACCGTCCGAAACGGCTCCAAAAGTCGGACCGGGACAGTTCCTAAATCCGCCCTCGGACAGTTCCCAAAAACATTGAAAAAGACCAAAGTCAGAAAGATTCCGGACTTGTCCTGAGTACCAACGCTAGTCGAAAAACGGACAGTCCGAACAAATGCACCAGCCTGCTGCCC